CACTTAGTCTTCTGGGGGTTTTTGGTTTTTGACCATGGGACATATATAAGATTTGAGGAAGCTTTAAAAAAATTAATGTGAAAACTTATTAGGGGTTGTTTCAAGGCATCATAACAGAGTAAGGCATACATGATGGAAAACCCAAAATAAAATGTTTTGCCCTAGAATCAAATGCAGTTCCCCCTCTAAACTCAGTATATGTTTTTCCTAGTTATGTTTTGCATAGGTTGATAATATAAGCCCTTTCAATTCCTAAACAAGTTAAATTATTACATACTTGGTTGTTTACTTAGACATGTTATATGTGATGATACAGGAGAAGTAGAGTAGATGGTTCTCTAAGGATATATAATCTGTAGTCACTTACCTGAGCTGACCCAAGAGAGCCCTAAGTTTCAGTCTCTCTCATCTGACCATACTGTCAGCCCAGTACTGGGCTGGTTTATTCAAACCTACACAATAGCTAGCTAGATGGACTAATAAAATTATATAGTAAAATCTGCTATGAGCATATATATTGTAGTAGAAATAGAATAGCCTGTAATTACTGTGATCATATCCCTAAAGCTCTTATAATTACTTCATAAAGCACCCATCACCTTTGAGAAAACACTTGACTCTTGAGATTCTTGTTCTAATTAGTCTATAGCAGAAATTCTCAAATTTTAAAATACATCAGAGTCACCTCAAAGACTTGTTCAAACACAGATCACTGAACCCCCCACCCCTGGAGTTTCTTATCTACTAAATCTGGAGTGGGACTTGAGAATTTGCATTTCCAACAAGTTTCCTATTAGGAAACTGCAGTTTGAGATCACTGCTGTGTAGTGTGTAATTTTTACCACAAGTTATTAAATCAGCAGTGTTAAAGCACTTCCTAGAATCTCTGAGACCACACAGGGAAAGGGTTAAATGATGATGGGTTGGGCAGATAATAGAGATTTACTAAATGGGCCACTTTGTACCCCATCCCTTTTCAGAGGAATTCTCAGTCCTATTATGTACACTTAGAGAAAAGTGAGTGTTTATATAATTTAGGAAACAGTTTACTCTTTAAGAATGTTTAGCCTTGTAATATTTTAAGATCAGGCATGTAAAATTCTCAGAGACTGTTTGTGTTCATTTCATTTATGAGTGTTCATAACTCTAGGAAGAGATTCGCTATTGATCACTTATCATGTGATACAGTTATCCTAGAAACACACTGTTTGAAAAACAGTAAGCCCTGGGCATTATTTTAAGTTGAAAATATATATTTTTTTCTTTTACATCAAGTCCTAGGTCTCTGTTTTGCAGGCTGAGAAGGATATCTTTCCTCCTTAACCAAATCTGATAGTTTAAAAACCCATTGAAGTGACCTATATGGAACCCTGAAACTGAGCAAAGAACGTTTTATTTGTAGGTTCCTCATAAGTGTTCACACTTAAAGGGAGAAAGCTGTGTCTGCACTACAGGATCTAGAAAGAAGTGTAGGGTGCAGAGCCTGTTTTCCTCACAGTGCAGCCTGTCTCCTGTCTCCCATTCCGTGTAGACGCTCGTAATTCATCCAGATTCAGCTTGGCCCATCTGAAGAGCTGTCACTCTGTTTCCAGGCTCTGATCCATTACATTGGTCAAAATGAGTTTCCTATCTGCATGTTTTGTTGTTTACGGGTAGTGACACATCCGTCACTGTTCAGGTCTTGTTTACTGAAGACTAATGAGCAAATATAATGCCAGAAGGAAGCTGTTGTCTCCCATTATTTAACAAGTCTGAAGGCTGTTCCACATCTTCTCTTCTCTGCAGTGTGGCTGGCTCTTAACACCTGGAGTGTATCTTCACATTGAAAAATTACATATTTACTTTGAAGACAGGGAAGCTAATCTAGACAATTTAGACAAATAGATTGGAACATTAAAACACTCCTTCGAAGGTATTTACTTTACCAGTATAAACACAACTGTAATCTCACCAGCGTATTGTCATAATTGGATATAAGCAATAGGTGCAGATTTAAAGCATTCATTTTCATGATGGAATGCTCAGTATGTTATGGAATATTACACTCGACACAAACACCATATACTCACACTGTAGCCCATCAGTGTGAAAGTATTACCTGTTTTATTGGAAGTGTTAAGATTTCTTCTTTCAAAGTAAGGAAGACCAGTCATCTTGTATTGTTCATTTGCTCTTTGATTCATTTATTCATCAATTATTGGTCATTTCCTCCCAAGCTACAGTGTTTATGATACCCCTCATAATTGCAAAAGGCTTCCACCTAATTTGCTTTTGTTCTTTACCACCTCTTTCCCGGATGTGCTTCCCTACCTCAGGCAGCTATCAGATTAGCAGTTTCACATCCAGAGTGATCATTGTCCTGGCACTTTTGCTGGACCTTACATCCACCCTGACGATCAGAACACAATAGTGGTGATAACAGATTTACAAACACCATCCAATTTGCAGAAAATAAAAAGCATAGCCACAAGCATATGACACAAAATGGCCCACTGGTGTCCCTACCCCGGAGTGTACCATAACACTCACTTCCCTCCCCCAGCTGACTGTCACTGAAAAACATATATGAACTCTATTGTTCTTACTTAAAAGGATGTGTATGTCTCAAGTAGAAAAGAAGATGGGGAGATGAACACAGTGGTATAACAAATTGGCCTTATACAAGCCATGATTATAATAGAAGCTGTCAGAGTAGATGAGATTACTGAGATAAAATGTGGAAAGAAAAAGAGAATGGGCCCTAAGAAAAAACCCTCAGGAAAACCACTTACGGACTCACTGTAGAAAGGAGAGCCAACAAAGGGGAACAGCGAGGAGTGGCCTGAGAGGGAGGAGGAGAACCAGGGCTCTGTAGTACCGGAGATCCGGGGAAATCTCTCTACAGGAAGGTCAGCTGTGTCCAGTGCTGCAGGGGAGTCAAGATGAGGCTTGAGCCATAGGCATCAGTGTATTTTCAGTTTCCACCCCACCCCCAAATTAAGGAGCTAAAAGACACTTTTAGAAAGTATACCTTACCACTAAGTCATCCCATGAAAATTTTATTGTTAGGTGAGTCTAGAAGTGCTGGGCTGCTGAAATACACTGACCCTCCCCAACACTGCCCTGTACCTACAAATAGGTAACAGTCCTCCCATAGGTGATGAGGAAAACCATTCTTACTAAACATTAGGTGATGGTGTTCTTTGGCAAGGCAAGAAACCGTTCTCAAGCCTCGACTCGGACAGCCGTGCATTAACTCAGATGTCAGATAATGCGTCCAGGCAGTCAGAAGTTCTTCCCTGAGCCTCTCCGTGTGTCAGGCACACATCTGGCACAGGCAGTATGAGAGTGCACGAACACTGTGTCAGGGAGCGTAAACCTGCAGCGGCACCGGCGACAGCAGAGGGAGCCAGTGGGAGAGCTAGAAGACAGTGTCGTGGGCTGTGTAGTGAAGCTGTTCTTCAGTAATTCTTGAGGGTATCATATGCTTATGTGACAGATTAAATATTCTACAAATCATTAAATTTAATCATTATTCTCTGCCGCTGCAGTTTTTAATTCTGTTCCAATTTC